TCCCTGCCATGGTCTCCTGGATTGCAAAGGTGCCCCTAGGCCAGAAGTCTTGGGGGATGTCTGATTTATCCTCAGGCACCAAGACCATGAGGTGAGACAAGCAGATATGCAAAGGAAAAATAATCTGACACATTCTTGTCGTCGTCTCTTTAATGTCATCTACACACAGAAGCTCACACAATCCTTTGGTTTTAAAAAAATCAAGGAACAATCTGGAAGTTACTTTTCCACACGTTTCTCTTTTTTTTCTGGAGGGCTGGCCAGGCTAGTGTGTCACCGGAGGCAGTTCAAGGCTGGTTTTTGGCCCCACCCAAAATATAGGCAGGAGGGGCTCTCCAGAGAATTCAGCCATTGTAACATAGCATGCCTTGCCTGTATCAGCATCAAAAAAGAGAATGTGGCGCCCTGCATAACTGACAGCCACCCGGATCCTCCTCAGCTTCGCACCAGGCAGGCTACGCAGATTGCTCAGTCCCCAGATGCCTTCCTCAGGGGTAAAGGAGAGCATGCCCTTTCTCTTCACAGACTTCCTGGCGACCCCCACAGCCCATTCACCCGAAATATCCATGGTGACTTCCCAGTAGTGCCTCCCTGCTGTAAACTCCTCACACCCCAGCACAAAGGGACGTCCGTTGAATCTCTCGGGATTGTCCGGCAGCTCTTGATGTGCCTCTCCCCACCTCGCACTTCTACGATCCTCGGACAGGATCAGGTGGGGATGAGCGGTGTCCGGGTCCAGAGTGACACTTGCTATTGGCATCGCAAGGAGACAAAGGAAGAGAAAAGAAAAGAGGAATCAGCTGGGAGGGTAGATATTGTGAGTTTAGATCCACTCCAGGGATCATTGCGGAAGGGGGTTCTTTTCCTGCCTGGACTGTGGGCCTCCCTGCGGCTTCGCTGCTATCGTAGCCCAGCTTTGGCCCTCTGTCCAAAATCAAAAGCTCTTTGAAGCCACCCTTCTCTCTCCCAATAGCCAACTGACCAAGGACGAAGAATGGGAGCAATGAAAAAGGTTGGGATCTTAGAAAAGGAGTGACTTTGGACACTGGTTGTGTCCACTGTGGCCCCACCAACAGCTCCCCCGATGGATAACTTTTCCCGCTATCCTTAGTTAATGCAGTGATGGTTTCAGAGCCCGCTAGCAGGGATGATGGAAGCAGAAAGCGTCCTGATAGAGCACACATATCCCTCCTGGTTCTCTGTCAGACCATCTTGACCGTGAGCCCTTGAAGACCTGCTCCCTGCCTTGCAAGCCTATTCCCCCTGGCCAAGACTGACTCCAGCTACAAAAGCTGAGGCTGTGAAACAGACTCTTGGGTTTGGGCATCGGTTAGGGCTTTTGCTGCTATTATGTTACTTCTTTATTTTAGATCTTATGATTTAGGTGGAAGTTGTTCAATTTGGTTGTGTACTTTTTAATGTTTTATTCATTGCATATGACTATTTTGTGTTATTATGTAATTATGTATATGTCACCAGCCCCCTTGAGCATGGGCTTAACTTTGGAAAGAGGAAGTGCAAATAAAATGATTGCTTGATTGAGGCTCCTCAGCTTACCTTTCTTCAGAGAGAGTCCTGATGTTAGAGTGCCTGTGAAATGGAAAGCAAGAGAGATTAAGCATCACACACCATCGTGGTGTTAATTAATGTTATAGCACAGAAAAGGAGTCAGTTGATATCATGGTTTTGAGTCCTACCCTCCAAAGCAGGAGAAGACAATCTTGCTCCAACTTACATGCCCTTTAGATATTTGAAGATGGCTACCATATCGTTCTCTCAGTCTGCTTTTTTCCAGGCTAAACATGCCTAACTCCCTCAACCATTCCTCGGTTTCCAGAACCTTGTTTGCTTTTCACTTGTTTCCAAATAATCACATTTGACTTCTGCTTATGAGACCTTTTGCCTCTCAGCATATGCAGGAATAGCAGCTGTCTGCTTTTGAAAATCTTAGCAAGCTGCCTCTTAAGGTTATTGCCTTAAAGTGTTGGAGCCTAAGGCCTGGCTAAACACGAGTTGTGACAGAGTGTCATTGAAACTACCAAACTGATCATTAAATTTACCACAATATTCTTGCGCGCGCACACCCCCTCACCAAATTCAGTGTGCCTGAAGTCATACAAAGCTTCAGCCACAAAAGTGTGTGAGTTTTTTCAAGTGTCCCTGCATAAATCTGCATGTGGGTGAGACACTGTTGCTGAAGAAATAAACATGTTGCCTTCATGCTTAGATGATGTAAACCAGAAAGGAGGAAGTTGTGGCCTTCACAATGTTGTTGGACTTCAATTATCAGCTGGGCTGATGGGAGTTGGAGTCCAAAAGAAACAGAAGGCACCAGGCTGAGAGAGGCAGTAACAGCAAATGGCATTTTGAGCTGTGGTTGCAGGACCTCCTTTCCCCCTCAGTGAAATTTAAAGTTACCTTCCCTACTGACCCTCAAGTTCAATTTTTCTGGCTCTCCTAGCATTACAGAGGACACCTTGAGTTTTTCCTCAACCCCATATGGACCAATTCAATAACCAGCATGAAATTCTTGCTGCCAATACCTTTGAACTGCTCCACCACAGCTTTCAGAAATGGATATATTTCAAAGATGTCCAAGATTTTCCACATAAATTCAGGAGAGAAAATTCTGGGAGGCTCAAATGTCTGTCTCCCCTCATGCCTGTGGAGAAATAAAAGGTTTAAGTATGCCAGCTGGCTCTCCATCCCAACCTCAAATTCCCAAAGGAACCAATAGGAGGAGAGGGGAGAGGATCACAAAGGTCTCAAGAAACTGGCTGGTCAGATTCAAGGTGAAAAATAAGAGGACAGCTGAAACGTATATTGAAATAAGCAGTGCAGGGAATAAAAGTGTGAACAATGGTTTGTTGATTTCTTAGATACTTCCCTGTTTTGGAATACGGTTGAGACTACCAGGTGGAAACAGAAAGAAAGGAAAGAGAATCAGAATTAAACGAGAGATAAAAACTGAGAAAAGGAAGTTTGGAAATGAAAATAGGAACTTTAGAAAAAGTGGGCCCCTATTGATTTGTTAAAAGTTGGAGGTCACAAAGACCCATACTGTCCCTTTGGGAACAACGGGTGTTTTTCCTGCAGTCCACATCCTTCATAGAACCGCAAAGCGCAAATGAAAAGAAGAGGGATCTGCTTACCTCTGCAAAGTGCTTCTAATATCCTGCAGGGGAAAGAGAAAAAGGAGAGAACTCAGCATCCACGACTGGCCATACATCGAAGCCCACACCCCATGCCCCAGTCCAAGCAGGGTAATGTCATAAAATCAGAACACAGCCTCTTAAATGAAGCCCTGAGCAGGAACCAAAGAGGACCAGTAAGGTATCAGACCAAGGGTCCACCTATTTTCAGCCCAACTCAGGTAATATAACCACAGAAGGGAAAACTTCTTAAAAGAAGCCCTGAAATGACAAACTGTCCCACACCTTAAAAGGCACAAAATAGGGCTCTGTTCATTGCAGGGATCAGGCCAAGGGACCCACCCAGTCCACAAGCAGGCCAGTAAGGCAACATCACTAGTTTGGGAGCCAGCAGCAGACCCATCATCAGCCAAGAGCAGAAAACATCTGATTCCATCATCGTTAAGTAACAAATTAAGGTGCACATGCTCTGCTTGTCCTCTTAAATGCTCCTGCACCTAACGTAAGAGAACCAGCTACCAGCTCCACAAAACCAAGCAACGTCATTTGTGAATAATGATAGAGGCAGAGGCTGGTCTGGTCGTGGCCTTGACCTGGAGAAAAGCTTGGGCTGCTTATGCCACTCTCCTACCTGCAGGAATTCACTGGGGGGCTGCTGAAGCTTCTCCTCCAGCTCCTGGATGATATTTTGAAGAGAGTCAAGTTCTCTGGAGAGCCAGCCCAGCTGCTCATTCGATTTCCTTGTAATCTCTTTCTCCATCTCTTCCATCTCCTTCAGCACCTGGTTTTCCCATTTTCCCAGAAACAAATGTAGTTGCTTAAATTCATCCTTCATCTTCTGCCTGTGAGACATTAGTTTCTCCTGCAAGAAAGATGGAAAGAAAAACAGGCTGTTAGCAACATTGCCACTCCTTCTGCAGCATAAAGAGGGTTTGAGGATTATTGCAGGGGGACAGGGCGGGTGCTTCTGAATTTTTAGATTTTCACAGAGGATGCATCAGTTTTCAAGCAAAGGAAAATTTTCCTTCCCATCAGAACAGGTGTCCCCAAATAAATAGACATCTAAAAGAGTCGAGCTGTCTGATGGCTTCAGGATGTAATTTTTTATCCCCCCACCAAACAATAGTTCTTTTGATTATTTGCTTACTTCCCAGTAAGAGCGACACTTACAAGCAGGTTTTGAATGGTGTCTTCTGTTTTTCTATTACGCCTCAGGTTTTCTGCCTTCACCCCCTTCAGTGTCTCCAGGCCCCTGCAGAGCTGATCCTGAAAAGAAAAGCCAAAGTTCCCATTTGGGTCCTGGTGAGAGGCAATTGTACATTTCTTTCCATCCCAAATAAATCAATGTATTAGTTATTTCCTGACTTGCAATGCTTGCTCTGCTCTTTGAATTAGATTCTGAAACAGGAAAGGCAGTTTGCAAAGTGCACTCATTTGAGCTGCATTTATTTTTCCTAGAAAGGCCACCTTAACATTGTTCAATCTTTCTAGATCAGCTTAATTATCATTTTTTTACACAATCATACCTAATATACACATCCAGTGCAGTCTTATATGGAAAAGCAAGCCTCAGTCCCATAAAAGCCAATATCTATCTTAGGATGTGTAAAATAATTAGATGAGGGGGCCTCCTGAGCATGAGCAGAGTCAGTTGAGAGCAGACTGCCTCCCACACACCTAGAATTAGAGGGATAAAGGCTCACTCAGGAGACAGTGGTTTGCGGACAGCCTTTAACCTTGATCGCTGAATGGCTCAGTTTGTTAGAGCATGGTGCTTATAACATGACGGTTGCAGGTTCGATCCCCTTATGGGACAACTGCATATTCCTGCATTGCTGGGGGTTGGACTAGATCGTCAGGATCTCTTCCAAGTCTACAATTCTATGATTTTAATTCCCATCATATATACTAGCCGTTCCTATGAATGGTTCATTCTTACCTTGTAGTCTTGGACGGCTTCTTCCACAGGAACCACCCTGTGGCTGCTGTGCCCTTGGGATGTGTCACACTCTCCACAGAAGGGGGCTTCGTCGTCCCGGCAAAAGAGGTCCAGGGTCTTCTGGTGCCTCTGACAATCCGAGCGCCTCCTTTGAGCCTCTCTCTCCTCAGAATGATCCCACTCACTGATGATTCCGACCATATTTGTGAGAAGCCTGTTTTGCTTGTAGTCTGTTTTGACAGCCTTTCTGCACTCGGGGCACCTGGTCTTCTCACCAGACTCCTCCCAGCACCTCAAGATGCAGGCTTCGCAGAAGTTGTGCTTGCAGCCCAGTTCCACCGGACGAGTAAAGTAACTGAGGCAGATGGAACAGGTGACTTCACTCCGGATCCTCTTCCTGTACCTCTCCTCAGCCATGGCTTCACTCCTGTTGTAAGGGACCCCTCTCCTTCTCCAGAAGCAGCCACACCTGGAAGAGAGATGGAGCAGAGTTAGGATCCCTGTGAACTTTAATCTGAAATGGGAAATGTAAGCCGTGCCCCATCCGCATGGACCTTCTCAGCAGTGGGACCTGCCCTGTGCAAGGCCCTCCCATCAGATGCCAAGGAGATGAAAGAAATACACAACTTTTAGAAGACATCAGACGGCAGCTCTATATGGGGAACTTTTTAATGTTTGACGTTTTATTACATTTTATATGTGGGATCACACACATGTGGAAAGAAAGATGATCACCCTCCCTCGAGTATTTAGGAAAGGCAGATCTCATCACAAAGGGGGACAGATTCCTCCTGTGTTCAATGGTTTTGAATTGCATTTTGTTCCTTCATATATATTTTTTCTTGAATGGTATTTTAAAGTTTGCCATTTGCATTCCAAGTAATTCACAAAATACAATCGAAAATCAACATGGATATTTTTAAGCTTGACACTGAAGCTTGTTGGAAAATCCCTGGTCCAGAAACAGCTTCGTTTGTATTTTATTTTATTTAACACGCACACCACTTTTTAAAATAAAATCTCTAGGCGATTGACAATAAAGGTTTATGTTTAAACGACATGGGAAAGGAGGTAAACCGGGGCCTGGATGTGAGAGAGGCACTTTTAACTTCATTTTTAAAAATCATGAGGATGGTTCCCATGAAGTAGATTACAAGTGGACGCCGTATTATTTGCCGCGTTTCTTAGCTGCTGTGTACAAAAACTTGGCTCTTATCCAACTAGCAAGGTAAAAGATGGAGAAGTTAAATCGGTTAAAATCCAGGTGCAAACAGAGAGCAAACCGCGTGCAATAGGAAAGTCCTAAAACACTCATCCAGCAACACAAATAACACAAACATCCAGCAACACAAACACGTCGCTGCCAACCCTGGGAAGTGCTAAAAAGAGCGTGGACGGCGCTGGAATTTTTGGGAGCTAAACTCCCCCACCCGCGCGCCCCAAAAACCCGCACCTAGAGGTGGCAGGATTTGAACCCGGGACCTTCTCCACGCAAAGCAGATGAGACAAGACGGACACACACATTTAAGTTCCGGCTTCTTGAGAAATTCATCTGCCTCTCCCCCCACCCCGCCCCGTTTTTCTTTCTATTTTAACAGCAATTTCTGAGAAATCTGAACCCTTCATTTCATCTTCATTTCTATAGCTCACTCAGCTCGCGGAAAGAGACCTGCAGTCCCGATTCCTTTAAAGAATCGCCAGTGATGTCCAGGAAGGACAAAACCGAGGCCGGGGGGGAAGAACCACCGTCATTCATCTTCCCATCGCTAAATGAAACGCACCCACACGTATCGTGTACACGTGAGGCCATCCCCACGCAAGGAGCCCGCAGCGTTACGCGCGAACTTGTTGAGCCATAAATCTCGCTCAACTCCTTGATCCGGATCTGCAAATGGGCTCGGAGAAAAAGATTACCTTTATTTTTCCGAGTCCGGGCAGAACAGAGATAGGGAGCAAAGGAAAGAGAGGGGGGTATCGCAAAATAATAGCCATTCACACGACCGTGTACACGTATCTTCCGCGCAACATGCTAGGAAAGGGTCCTGCCGGGTGAGGCGCGCCTATTTAGCAATAAATCTCTCTCACCTTAGAGAGGGACGAGATCGGTGAGCAAACCGGTCCGAGCCGGAGAATCCTTCCGTCTCCACGTCCGGCCAAAGCAGGAATTCGTAGTGCTCCTAATCCGGCGGAGAGAGGAGCAAGGGGACCCCTTTTTGCCTGATCCGGAGCAGCTCTGGTGAGCAGCAAGAGGAGGAGCCGAAGCAGCAGGCAACGAAATCAAAATCGCCGCCGCGAGAAATGTAGCCAGTCGGAGACTGCAACTCTGTGGATGAATGGATAATGGTTGTGAATGGAGAAGCGGGGGGCGGGCCAATGCCGCTTCACCTGGCAGTCAATCAGCTCTTGCGAGGCTCCAAAGCGCAGATCTGAGATTCTTATCCCTATATATGGAGAATTGAGGCAATCAATTCAGGCAAGGTCGCATCGCCGCTCTTATTCTACATTCAAGGGGGCGGGGTCTGCATTTCAGAAAAGCATTTTATTGCTTTCACAAATAATCAGTGCTTGCTTTTTTTTCTAAAAAAAAATATTTTGGGGTACTCTCATTTTCCTACTCACATTGAAATACTGCCCCTCCATGAGGCCAGACTTAGATTCACAAAATGTTTAGGGGTATGCGTACCCCTGCATACTCCCGGAAAAAAGCACTGCATATAATAAACATAATTTGCAATCAACAACAACCATAGCTGCTAGTCTGTCCTTTCTTTGGGGGAAGCAGGGAGCGGAACAGCAGCTTAAAAGTTAGAACCAGGAGCAACAGCAATATGCTGTTGAAGCACTGATTCTTCAACCTCAACTTTGTTGGACTGGTCATGTTGTGCAGATGCCTGATTATCATCTTCCAAAGCAACTACTCTATTCCGAACTTAAAAATGGAAAGCGTAATGCTGGTGGTCAACAAAAGAGGTTCAAAGACTCTCTCACGGCAAATCCATAAAAAATGTAGTATAAACACTGACAAGTGGGAAACACTGGCCTGCGAGTGCTGCAGTTGGAGAACAGCCTTTACCAAAGTTGTCATGGGCTTTGAAGACTCTCGAACTCAGGACGCAAGGGAGAAATGTGCTAGGAGGAAGGCACACTTGGCAAATCCACACTGTGATCAACTCCCACCCGGAAACCAATGTCCCCACTGTGGAAGGACGTGTGGATCCAGAATTGGCCTCCACAGTCACTTATGGACTTATTGTTAAAACCGTGTTTATGGAAGACAATCTTACGCAGCTACGAGTGATCGCCAAAGAAGAAAGATGACACAGAACATCTGCAGATGAGGCAGTGGATGATCCCACCCACATAACTGATCACATGACACAGCATGCACACACCATTTGAATGGCAATTACCATCCACTTTGCAGGGGACGGGAGTGGCCCCCAAGAAATATTTTATAGGAGTTGGCTGCTATGCCGGAGCCAAACTTTGCAGATTTTGATACCCTCAGGCTGAGATTCCGATAGGCATGGGGAGAGTCTGTGCATTGAAAGCCTTTGAGGAATTCCCCTTTTTTGCAATAGCATTACCTGAGGGAGTGGGACTTTGATTGGATCTTCTACTCAATGCAATTGAAGTGAGACAAGCTTATCTCTTGCATGAAGCAACTGCCTTCTGGCATGCCTTGTAAGAATAGCTGCCCTTCCCTGCTCCAAAGGGTGCGTCTAAAAGAAGGGGTTGGGATTGTTGACAATGGGATGCGCCTCCAGGGGTGAAGCCAAAAACTGTTAATAACAAATGACCTCCGTGGGGCACAAGCTTGGGCAGTATGTTTGGAGGTCCTGGGCTGCCCAGAGGATAAGGCACACACACACACACACACACACACACACACACTCTTGACCTCACGGGTGTGGTCCTAAGGAAAGCAGAGCAAGAGGTTTAGCACCAGCTGGGCCGCAGGTCTGAAGCTCAACATCAAAAAAATGAAGATCATGGCCATTAGTCCCGTCACCTCCTGGCAAATAGAAGGGGAAGAAATGGAGGCAGTGAGAGATTTTAATTTCTTGGGCTCCATGATCACTGCAGATGGTGACAGCAGCCACAAAATTAAAAGACGCCTGCTTCTTGGGAGAAGGGCAATGACAAACCTAGACAGCATCTTAAAAAGCAGAGACATCACCTTGTCAACAAAGGTCCGTATAGTTAAAGCCATGGTTTTCCCAGTAGTGATGTATGGAAGTGAGAGCTGGACCATAAAGAAGGCTGATCGCCGAAGAATTGATTCTTTTGAATTATGGTGCTGGAGGAGACTCTTGAGAGTCCCATGGACTGCAAGAAGATCAAACGCATCCATTCTGAAGGAAATCAGCCCTGAGTGCTCACTGGAAGGACAGATCGTGAAGTTGAGGCTCCAGTACTTTGGCCACCTCATGAGAAGAGAAGACTCCCTGGAGAAGACCCTGATGTTGGGAAAGATGGAGGGCACAAGGAGAAGGGGGTGACAGAGGACGAGATGGTTGGACAGTGTTCTCGAAGCTACCAGCATGAGTTTGACCAAACTGCGGGAGGCAGTGGAAGACAGGAGTGCCTGGCGTGCTCTGGTCCAGGGCGTCACGAAGAGTCGGACATGACTAAACGACTAAACAACAACAACAAGGGCCGCAGGAGTTGCTGGAAGGAGGCGCACAAGATGACTTCAACGTCTTAAGGACATTAATATTTTGTTGGAAGCCACCCAGAGTGGCTGGGGAAACCCAGCCAGATGGGCGGGGTATAAATAATAAACTATTATTATTATTATATTTTTTATTAAATACTTTTATTTTGCTTTAAACAAATACATATAAATATAAACAAACAAAATTACAAAAGATGATTCCTTTGTAATAATAATAATGAAAAAAGCTAAAAAACTACAAAAAATATCAAAGTACATGGCATAAAACATAAACCATTATGGGAAAGAAAAAATAAAAAGGAAAGGAGGAGGAGGGGGAAGAAAAAGAGAGAAAGAAGATGAGCCAAAACACAAAAAGGCTCATCTATTGTATGCTTTCATCAAGGTCACAAGAGATCATTATTCTTATCAATTCTCTCTATCTGCATTCCAAAGAATCCCTCATCTTGGTATCAGGGAGCATTTCTCTATGCGGTATCATTCTAAACATAGCCAGGTCTTTCTTGATGAACTCTTGTCCCCTAGACAATTATTTAAACATTTCCATTCTTCTTTCACCATTTTTAAAGGTTTATCTCTTATTGCATCTGTCAGCTTCGCAAGCTCCAAGTACTTCGCACAATTTGACTACCCATTCCTCTTTAGTGGGTGTATTTTTATCTTTCCAGTGTTTTGCCACTATAACCCTTGCTGCTGACATCGCATACATAAATAACCTGGTTTTATTTTTGGGAATATTATTATTATTATTTTCTTTTCCCGAAGATGTCCCGCAGGGCAGCAGAGGTTTAGTATCCTCCTCCTTGATGATTTAGTTTTCCTCCCCCTCAATGATTATCCCTAGCCCCACCTGTCCCTTGGGCTAGGGATAATCTCGCAAATAATATGCAGAAACACAAACAGTAAAAAAGCGAAGCAGCCAGACAGAATTGTTTGTGGTGAAAAACCGACACCTTGTGGCCAAATGTGGAAATAAATGCATCTAATGTTTTTTGTAGACAGAAGGCAAAAACAGCTGATTGTAGCATGCAGCCCT